AAGATGTGAAGTGGTGCTTAAAACAGGAATTAAGACTCCTGTATTTCAGTGAAAGTAAAAGGAGAGCTGAAGTACACACTCTTGAGCTGATCCCAAGAAAACAGATTTACAGAAGGACTTCTCAAAATGAGAGCCGGACCTATGGGTCTGAGCTGCAACTTAGGATATGCAGTGGCCACGGAGGGGGAAAACTGTTAGTCTGTATTTAAATTTGTCTTGGTAAACATTTGTTGACATAAACAGCTTCAGAAATGTTTGGGCCAACAATAGGTCAGACAAAAGAATGCCAGCCAACTGACACAGCAGTGCCTTTCCTGACTGTGTGTATTGTGACCAGCCCTGACTTGGCAGGGAGGATGACTGGCGCTCACAAGCTTGATGAGCAAATTTGATTTTGTTTTGCGTGAATAGAATCCACAGCTGTAAGGCCATTATTGCTCAGTAACTTACTAAACAAAAACTTCCCTTTGAGAAATACCTAAAGTTAGCAAATAGGTAATTATGCTGTTCTTACATTAAAGATGGATGAGCAGTTACAAAATATGGTGACCAAAACCATTTCGGAGTGGGATGCTAATGACAGCAGTGTGCTACTGAGATGACTTGGCAAACACTGACAGACTTCCCAGCTGCTTTGTACTGTCATTCTTGTGCATTAGGTTTGTCAGCTTTGAATAGATGCTTTTTCACCCTGTTCTGTCTCCACTTCTCCTACTGAGTATGCTTTAATTTTGGAAGGGCTTGTTTTCAGTTATTGTAAATGACAATTTAAACCCCAGTGAATGAAGATTTGTAGATAGGCTACTAAGCTCTCTCCAGGATTTTTATTTTTTTCCCCCTTTCGGTTTTAAGAACTCTGGTTTTTTCCTTTTGGGAGTTAGAGTGGCAACTCATTCCTCCCAGAGATTGTGGGAAACTACTCACCTGAGCAAACAGCTGAACTCAGGTGCCCAGAGAGGTCCTCTGTGTTACAGGATCACCATTTTCTCAGCGTTAAGACTGTGTTTTGTTGATCTGGCACATTTGGATTGTTTTGCTACCTGAGGTTTCTAAATCTGTCCTGAACAGGAAATCCCTGTTTTAGTGTCTGTTTGGTGAGTATCAGTCACTGAAGGCAGTGTAGTTGTGGCTCCTGATGATTTCTGCCCCCACCTGTCCCCAAGCACCACTTGTGTCACAGACCTTTTGTCTTCTGGAGGCCCAGAAACAATGTTTGAGATGTTCTGTAAACAAATGATACAGTGATGGAATACAAAGAAATCTCAGTTGGGTGTAGCCAGACCTTTGCCTTTGAGAGTACAAATAACTAATCTCATGCTTGAGTGCATTATTTTAGTGATAGTGTTCTCCTGGATGGTATGATAAACATCTAATTCCACTCAGTGGCTGTTTTCAACTTGCATTTCCCTTTGAAGCTTGCTGCTTGTTTCAGACTTGGAGAGGCTTGTATCCCTGAAGTGTTTTTTTTTTTTTTTTTTGTTTTTGTTTTCTTTCTTCCCCCTCCCACTTATTTTACTTTCCCCCCAACTCTATTGTTCTAGTAAGATAAGAAATTGCATTTGGGGATCAGATGTGCTTTAATTACTCTTCTGTATTTTTTTCTGCCTTCACCTAACCTGTAAGGAGCCTTGAGGGACTGTTTCATCCAATAATAGCAAGCCTGTAGTTGTGGGCCACACTGAACTCCCAAGAATAATTCATGCCACATGTTGTATGTCTGTGATGCACTCCTTCCTGTAGACTCTCAAACTGAGAGTAGTCTGTAGGTTGGTTTCGCTCCCTTTCGGCTTTGTTTCCCTCCCCTCTTTGTTGGGGTCCAGAAGTCTACCCACCCTGTTGCCAGAAGTACCTGGCTGTGGGGTATGGGTATTCCCAATCACGTGATTAGGAACTCTTCTCTCCAGGCACAAGTGTGCATCAGAAGACAGGGACACCTTTTTGATTAGGCAAGAGATGTGGTTCTGGTGCACCTGTGCAGCTCATCTCTAGTCCATTGACCACAGTATTCATGCCCTTCATGTGAGGACTGCATATATTCAGAGACAGCTGATGGGGAATGTTCCTGGCATATAGCCTTCAAATACCTGCATAAAAGCCTATCTGTCCCAGTCCTGCCCATGTAAATCATTAGTTCCAGTGGAAGATTGTGGAATATTTGTCTGTCTGTGGAGATTTGTGAGAAGTGATGAGAAACGAACTCCATAGACTACCTCCTTTTTAAGCATTTCATAACTTAAGTCTACACTCTAGGCATATTTTTAATGAACTAATTTGAATTGCCTGTAACTATCCAATATCCTAATTCCTGAAGATAACACATTATTATAATTTTCAGATGTATTTTCTATGTTGTCTGATCCACTTCGGGTTTGTGGGCATCAGTACCGCTCTCTTGTCTTTCATTTTCCTCATTGGCTTTTCCTGGAGCTGCCTGGTACTCCCAACAGCATTTATTCTTGCATTGATGGAATACAACTGAGGCTTTGATGGATTGAAGCTTGGAAGGACCATGAAAATTATTTGGTTTCATTTTGACAGCTAGAAAATTTCTCCTAGTGTTAGAAGGTGACAATGGCCATACTGGCTAAGGCCAAAGCTGTGTCTAACTTGGTGTCTGAGTTCCAATGATTGCCAAAAGTGAATAGCTAATGAAAAGCAAAAATGCTAAGTTGGACATAACCTCTGAATCATTTATACATAGGAGAATTCTTGAGCTCTTGCAAGTTTTCTTAGTACAGTGCTTAGTAGCTTGGGAGTCTCAAGAGTGGAGTAGTTGAGTGAAAAGAAATTGTGGAGGCAGGTTCCAAAGGAATTAATTCAAAGACACAGGTCTGTAAGCAGTTACTGAAGTGCACAGGGGCAGCTGTGGTGCAGCAGTGGTGGGTGCTGGGGGACTGGACTGCTGAAAGTGGCCAGTCTGGTCTAGTCTCCTAAGCAGCATCACTCACTGCTGTGTAAGGCCCAGGATAGCAGAACCCATGGACAGACCCACTGAGGCATTTATTGTCCCATTAGTAACCCATAGGGAAACGTCAGAGAACTTGTCCAGTATCTCTCTGTTTCTCTGCAAACTTCTTGTGTCCATGTCATGTTTTGGTAAGAAATTCTGCAGGTCTCTTTCATGGAGAATTACCCTTTTTTGTTTTCAAACTGGTTCCTGCTTGCTCTGTGTAATCATCTGAGGTATGTTGCATATAACTGAAAATGTGAATAAACAATTGATTCTGCCTGCTATTTTCATGCCTTTTATAATTTTCTAATCTTTCATATCTCCTATAAAACATTTTTATCCAAGGTCACAGCTTACATTATTGTTGCTTGCATGGAAACTTTCAAGCCTGGATTGCTTTCCCCATTAAGTTCCAAACTCTGAGCTATAGTATGCCTTTAGGTCAATGTGTGTTTGTCACAACCAACCTCTGCTGTTAATGTGGATGCACTGAATCATGGCCATGTTTACTACCAGGCTTTTGATGTTTTTTTGCCTTTGTTGTGTTTGAGTTCAGTTAAAAATCATCATGTGTATATGTAAATGAAGGTAGAACCAGAACTGTGTTTCTTTAATAAATTACATTGAACTTTCTTAATTTACTGCTGTGTAAGATGGACTTTCCTAGACTTTGTGAGTCCTGTTACAGATAGAGCTTCCTACTCCCTTCCAGCAGGAAAAAACATGCAACGTGACAGTGAATGGTAGATAAAGTTTTTTGCTTTAGTCCACTTCCTGAGTCAAGGTTTTTCCTTTGACCATATATAAACCAATCCGAGTTGAAAAAAAATTACTCCTGGTATTTGACATCTAGGGAGATAAATCTTGAAGCCTGGTGGTCTGTGGGAGACTTGCTATTGCATCCAATACAATCATGTAATTTGTATGTAGTCTCCCCACCTGACAGCAGTGGTATACTGTACTGATGTGTCATGTTGTACTTTGTTGATTCCTCAGAAAAATTTAGGTGCCTCTAGCTTAAATTTAATGTCACCAGAACAAAATGGCTCTGATTTGAAACTTTTCTCTGAGCAGCACTGGATCAATTTGCACTGTTCCATAATTGTCTGTATTGACCTGTTTGTTACTGTGACCACAGACAACACAGAATTGCCATTCCTTTTTGCTTGGTGGGGAAGTGAGTCAGCTTGTATTAGATCCTCTTTTTCTTTTTCATGAGCTAGACTTTCCTGAATTTGAAAGCTTTTTACCACAACTTGCAACGCAGCACTCTATTGCACGTGAAATTTTAATTCCATGCACCAGCACCTCTTCCGTAACAGAACGGAAGAGCTTGTGGTTTAACCTGTGCCATGTATGCAACAAGAACTAATTTGTAAAAAGACTAAGGTGGGGGTGAGGGGTTAATGGTGCATAGCAAGAGGTACATGCTGTAAAAAGCACCACCATCTTGGAGTGTGTTTGAGAATTTTTCTGATTAGGCTTAATTCACAAAATAATTTAGGTGTTCAACTTTTCAGGACTGACATGCTTAAAGAGAGACTTGTAGTTAAAAACTAATCAACATTTAGCAGAAGTTTTGTTTAGGTCTATGAATATATACAGAAATGGTATTGAATTTGTATCTGGCGAAGAAATATCTAATGAACAATCCAAATCTGCTTTTGTTTTTCTTCTTGGGCTTTTTTTTGCTTATGTGTAATTAAAATTGTAGTTGATGAAATGACTGGACAAAACTATGATTGTTTAACTCTAAACCTCAGAAATACTCAGAAGGGTATTGGTGTAGAATTCCCCCTCCCCTTTTATTGAAAGTATACTTGCTAGACTTCCTGTGATAAATGAGTTTATATATAAATGACATATAACATTGCAAGTAAATTGTTGGCAACTGCTAGTATTACTATTTTTTAACAATTTGTTTACTCTAAGTAGCCTCAGCTTCAGTATGGCCTAGAATTCCATACAGCTAAATACCATCAAACTGGTTTGTAATGGGATTGGGTGTTAATTCGCTGTTTTAATGTAGTTTCTCCTTTATTTTTTTCAGAAAATCAGGATGGCCTGCATCAGATAGTGCATGAACGCCTGGGGGAGTTGCTGCGTGTTTTAAAAGCAGTGATAAATAAACATCAGACTCTAAACTCAGTTGATATTCTTAGTGCTGCAGGAACAGTTATTGCAAAAGTAAAAGGTAAGGACTTTACTACCTTTCCTATTCTTGGAAAATTGAAGTAGTGACTTGATTGTCTCTGGATTGGAGTTATGGATAGAATTCTATGTATACGGAAGAAATGGGGTTTTTAGGAGTAATGCTTAAATAGTTGTATAAAAATACCTTTTCCAAGTGAAGAGTAGTATTAAATAGCTTGTTCTCTCATTGATGTAATAAATTCTGCTTATAGGAAGCTAACTGCAAACTCAGATTGAATTCTAAAGCCACAAACCTTGGATCTCGAGCTTTTCTTTACCTGTGTATCACAGAATGCTATCACAGCATACTAAACCTGGCATTTATCCACTTTGAGATTTGTCAAGAATATTTGCCTAATTATGTGAATCTGTGGGGATGGTACTGCATTTGTATTAAGTGAAGAAATACCTAAATGAGCCATCCAAATCTGAATGGCCTAACAGTTATGAATTCCACAAATGGATCATAACCACGGTGAAGGTGTCAACAATGCAAAAAACACGTTGCAGACATACATGTTAATATTTTCTATTGCTGCCCTTTGTTGCTGCAGTTCTCAGTATGTCAGATGAATGCAAATAGTGAGGCAGTCAATTTTTCCAGCCCTATAAACCATAGCTGTTTCTTCCCTGTGTAGCCTTTGAGTATAGTTCTCCCTACCCTGGAATAAGTGTCGTATGTTACTGTGGAACCTGTGTAGTTTCTTCTATGTGAAATGCATGGAAAATGCTTTGAGTAGGATTAAATTTCCACCTCTTGCCTGTGTTAAATCATGTAGAATATCTTCCTTCAGAGGCATAGTTTAGTTTTTCTGCTTGTTCTAGGGTTTTCCCTCTTGTTTCCTAGTTATCTTAGTATGTCTGTGTGCACAGGTGGCCAAGAAGGCCAGTGGCATCTTGGTGTGTATGAAGAATAGTGTAGCCAGCAGGGCTAGGGAAGTGATCATCCCCTGTACTCAGCATTGGTGAGGCCACACCTTGAGTACTGTGTTCAGTTTTAGGCCCCTCACTTCAAAAGGGACATTGAGGTGCTGGAGTGAGTCCAACAAAGAGCGATGAGGCTCATAGAAGGTCTAGAACACATGTCATATGAGGAATGACTGAGGGGGTTGTGTGTGTTTAGCCTTGAGAAGAGGTGGCTCAGGAGTGACCTCATCACTCTACAACTCCCTGAGAGATGTGTGATGGTATCTTCTGCCATGCCTGCAGTGAGGGGACTACGGGGTGCAGTCATAAGCTGAGACAGGGGAGTGTCAGATTAGATGTTAGGAAGAGTTTTTTTCACTGTTAGGGTGATCAGGTACTGGAGTAGATTGCCCAGGGAGGTGATGGAGTCACCATCCCTGGAGGTGTTTAAGAGGTGCCTAGATCTGATGGTTTGGTGCTGGAAGATATGGTTTAAGGGTTACAGTAGTGGCAGGTTAATGGTTGGACTTGATCTTAGATGACATCTCCAACCCTGATGATTTGATGATTCTAACATCTGTCCTCGCTGGACTATATAGTTCATTAAGATTGTTCTTGATGTGTAATGCCCCAAATTGATCACTGTCTGTACTGTCCAAGTTTACGGGGTAAAGCAGTAGAATTATTTTCCTTGTCTCCCATGGTGATGATGTTGATTGAGTCCATAATTATGTTGGCTTTTTGTCAATTTTTGTGTTCGATATAAAGTCCATAGTAAGTCCAAGGTCACGTTATGTAGTTTCTAGCGCTGAACCAGTTTTCCAGATCTAGATTTATGATTTCTCTCTCTTACCCTTTTGCTTCAGAAGTGGAAAGTTAAGCACTTTAGGTTACATAATCCATTGCTCCAGACTACTTGCAGCCTTCTGAATTTGATGTCATACTTAATTTTTTATTGATGGTTAGTGTTCCATCATACGGTTTCAATAGAACTGAACCCTGGCTAGTAGTTTTGTACATTTCCTTATATGCTTCTGTTTCTACCTGGTTTTATGCGTAGCTGTTATTTGAATAGGTTTTTTTGAGGATTTTTTCATTTACCTTGATAGTGAGGAGAAGAAATAACTTTAGTACTAGGCAGGTTTTTTTGACAATGCAGATATTCACAAATACACTTTAGCTTTTTCTTCCCTGAACAGCTTTTAGTCGATGTATTATGTTTGCACTTGAAAACTGCTAACACTTGTATTGTAGACTTTGCTCACTGTTAATATATTGAGTTTGAGGAGCTACAGTCATGGAGAGATTGCATTATTTTCTGTATGGAAAGAAAAACTACTTTTAGGAAAGCACTGTGCACCTTGCATAGTGCCCCATCCCTGGAAGTGTTCAAGGCCAGGTTGGATGGGGCTTTTAACAACCAGGACTAGTGGAAGGTGTCCCTGCTCATGGCAGGGGGGGTCAAGGTAGGTGATCTTTAAGGTCCTTTCCAACTCAAACCATTCTATGATTCTTTGCCTAAAGTAAACACAAACTTGTTCTGTGATCCAGGAAAGGGAACTCAGGATCACACAAAAGATGATGGTCTTGGTCAGTCCTGCCCCAATATTTGCAGCCATGGATACAAACAAGTACTTTGATACAAAGATTTTGGTAATGACTGTCAGAGTTTGCTCAGGCATATTGTATTTCTCACAACTCTGCAGATGGAAATGGGGAGTTACAAGGCTTCAGCTCTTTCCAACTCTTACTTCAGTCCTACTTCTTTGTGAAGAGCAAAATCTTTGCTGTATGAAAATGGACTGCCTCCCCCTAGCATAACCTGTGGTAAATGTGAAGGTAGTTTGCCTTTAGCACCTCTTTGGTTTTTACAGCTGTTTTTTTGTGTGAGGATCATACTGCTTTGTGTTTGTATTCAAACTGAAGTGTATGACTGAGGAAGTGAAAATACAGCCTGTTGTGATGAATTGTAAGCATATCAGACCTCAAGTTTGCTTACAGTGGCCTGTCAGTTACACATGCATTCACAGGTTTTCAACTGTGGTTATTTCATGAGAGGTAATGTGGCTTTTGAATAAACAGGAAGCTAGAAGAATGTGAGGAGCTGGTAGGACAGAACCAGTATGCTTTTTCCTCTGTCTTGTCAGGCTGTGTTAATGTGACATTATGAAAGAAGTTCATGTGACTCATTTGTTTCTTGTCATTGGAGGATAGAACTATACAAAGATGTGGAAGCACTCTGTATCTGTAGTCAGATTTATGACTAGAAAGAAGATTAGCCTGGCATGGAAAATTTCTGATGTTTATTTAGGGAAA